TCTAAGCCCATCTCACTGATCCAGCACATTGGATACACCAAAACTATTGAATGATACACTACTAGTCTACTGTACTTTACTTTAAACATAGACTTAGGATTATGACCAAAACATTAAAAAAAAGTCCATTTTGCCCACTGTCCATCACAGACTTTCCAAACACAGCAGCAGCACAACGGGGACTCACAACTCTTTGTCTATCACAACCATAAGGTTGAATACTTTACTTTGAGATGTAAAAGCTGAAAGCAAAACAAAACATGCCACTGAGGAAACGCAGTATTTCATCCTGAAGTATAAGATTCATCCCTGCCCGACTTCACTCATGGTTACCCGTACAGGAATCAGGTTACTCCTTCTCATTGCACAGAATCACTATTAAAACCATTGTTCTCAGAGGCGGGGCCTGAGTGCTTTCTACTTTCCACATATGCAGTGAGCTTCTTAAAAGCCTCTGCTCTAAAACCAACACAGCATGCTCTCTGTAACACACATGCTACTAAAATAATACATGACTTCACATGATTACAAGTGATACAAAGATACGAAATTCCTGCTCCCTGTGGACATACACAGACACACACAGAAGGAGGGGAGGAAACCAGTGAAATACATCACTCTTATTCATTCTTGGCATAACTGATCGAAGCCCACTCCTAGAGCACCTTCACCTTTGCACAAAGTTCACATTTGCTCTCTCAACTTCTGGAAAAGAAATGGTAGGCACAGAACACAATGCAAAATCCAACCCAGGCAAGTCAAACTATAATTCCAAGTTTCAGTTGGAAGACTCCCTCACCGCTACAGACACAGGAGGAGCCAATTCAAATACGGCACAAACATGAGGGACGACTGCATCGATAACTGCGAAGCATGCTTCTGCCATAACCTCGACTCGGGTACCGAGCGACAGGTAAAGACGTACAAAAGACTCTAACACCATGGAGACTGAAGAGAATACAGTCCGTGCTGATACGGCTTTTTTACACCCTCTCATACTGCATCCGTACTTTTAAATACTCCTCTTATTACAATTACTAATTAGAAGCTAATTCCTCCACTTCCTGGCTATATTTCTTAGCACTCAGTTAACAGTTTCTGCATCATTGTTACAATTAAAGTCTCCCCAAGAGTAACACAAGGCACAGCTGCAGTTACAACTTCCATTTTTCAGAGTTTTCTTACATCACTGTTTCTTTTACAGTCACAAACGGGACCAGCGCACTGAAAGACAAAAAAATGGTTATTACCCCACTTTTTCTTTAGAATGGATTGCAACAATTTCGCTTACATCATTACCACATTACAGTCCATAATAAAAAAGGTAATAATACCTTTATGACGAATTAAAAAATGTCCACCAGTAGCATTTTATTCTAACATTTTAAAATAATCGCAATGACATATTTCTCTTTTAAGATTTATTACTTGACTACTTTAAACAAAAACCCTCCGAAAACCAGAAATTCATAGCTCTGCTTCAATACAGCAGCACCGACCATTTATTTTGCCACTGTGTAACACTGCCATGTTGAGATTAGTAACTGTAACATAAGCCTAACAAAAACCAAAATTATCTTACCGGATCCCTGATGGATGTTTTGGTGAAATTCTCTATCCAGGAATTTACGTCAATTTTAATTCCAACAACTGAAAAAAATGCACAGAAAACCGGACACATACATTTTTAAAATGTAGCAACATTTTTCGCTTATGTTTCCTCTCACATTTGAAAACTCCTGAGCTGGCAAATGCAACTTTCTTGAGACTACACAAACAGCAACACTATTCGCTCTCAGATATGCCTTGAAAAGTTGATTGCAACTCACGTTACAGGCCACAGTTTCACTTAGTACAACATAATTTCTGCTATATAATTTAGGGACTTCATTTAACAGCACTGCATTTGGGTCGAATATACTGTTCATTACAGAGATATCTTCCTTGGGGCTTCCGTAAGAAGTACTCCTGACAGCTCTCACACTATTAAACACACTTCCTTCATATGCACTTTCTTCCTTGGCTACAGCCTAGCCAATGACCTAACACAGTAAGCTGATACAAAGACTGACACAGGAACCGAGCAGGACGTCGTGGAACCTTCCAGGGTCGCACCCGTCCCCCATATCCTCTGCTATTGCTCCCTCTGAGGTCCCCAAATAACAGTATCTCATGTACTTGCTCAATGTTTCTGCTGCGAAAAACCACCACCAAAAGGAGCACATTAACTACCTGACGATCAACGTCAATTAGCCCCTGGACCTTTCGGCGCCTAGGGGCTGATACCTTGCCGGTCCCTGCCAGAAACCTTTCTCTGCTCCAAACTCCAACATTCCACCTTCTATGGCCTCAGGGTGCCTCAGGGACTCGAAACAAACTTGCATTCGCCACCAACGGTGTCCGGAATAGACTTAGCAATATACAGTCATTCAAGCTGTGCCCCTTAAGAGGCTTCGCTACCCTGACCAGTGCTAGAGAAGTGTGGCTGAGGTGCAAATGACTGAGTACATGCAGAGGCAGGTGACGGGGTGGGAGGGCAGGCACCTAAATGAGCCACTGATACAACCACACTAACCGAGTAAATGTGCAACTGGGTCAAGGGAAGGAGGCTGGCAGACACTAAGTGAGACACTGAATGTACACAGCGAAACTGCTTTGAGGCAGAACCACCCCCACAAGCAGAGAGGCCATTTTACCCATGTTTCCAGTCTGCCCTCCCTAATCTGCTCTCTTTTACCATTCCCACAGTACTGCATTACACACTCCTTTCTCCACCTCTGCTCTGTCTGCTCACTCCAGCCCACCTCTAATTCCCATGGATCCTCAGTTACATGAGTTTCTCTGTGTGCTGCATTGCCTTTCCTTTGCCAAACAGCTCATTTTCAACACACTTCATTGTAACATTTAAAAACCAAAAAAGATCCCTACTGAATTCTTTTCTACTGATACACAGCATAGGTATGCCATAATACCTCTTTCCCACCAATGATGGACACTTCCCTTTCCACTTTTACTTTTTTTAGGCACACTGACATCTTTGGCCATACATACATCTGTGTATTAGAATTATTTTATAGGGCAGACTACCAGAGTGGCCTTGCCATATCAATCCAGCATTTAGGTTTTCGACATACAATACTAAGCTCACTCCATACACGTGTGTCAACAGTGGATACACATACACACTTCTTTGCAAATTGCTCGATTCTACATTAGTACTACTGTTTACTTTATCCCCAGTCTCATAGGTAACAAACTGTATTTCTTTGCATTTTCCAGTTTAGAATGTCTTTGACTTCTCTTTGGCTGAACCTTTCTGATGCCCTTCCTGATAAGCACTGTCAGCATATAATATAAACATTCGGTCACATTTCATTTGGGATGTGACTGTGCACAATACATATGCTTACCTGCAGGTTTGAGAAGTTTGCCTTGGATGTATATTTCTACAGCTTTGCTTACCATGATTCCTGATTCATAAGCGCCAGGTCCGCTTCCTAGAGAAAACAGACAACAGACCTATATAGATCACCACAACACCATTACATTTCTTCCCCTACCTACAGGTGCATAGAGTTCTACTTCAATATTCCAGCATAGCTCTGTAATCAAGGACTGTGTGCTCTCCTGCTCCCTTCTACTCCTTTATATGCCCGGCTGATTGGACTGTCCATGAATTGGTTCTCATTAATTGACTTTGGCATGAAAATGACTCACCTTAGCTGCATGTACTTGCCCAATAAAAAGGGTGCACGCCAGATCCCTGCTTCACGACATGTGCTACAATACTGGGGAGGCTACTGACGTGAAGTGGAAAGAGTGAGTTTCCTTTTACAACACTGCCTTTCCGTCTCACCAGATATATGTCCCTGGACAAAACTGCAATTCTCTGACCTTCAGGTTCCCCATTTATGAAAATTATGATAAGTAAGACCAACCCCCAGAGAGGCTGAAGAATTAACTCAGAAAGTTTTGGGGAAAGAGCTCAATAGACTACTTAAACATTTAGACCGTTATGATTTTTCATAAACAGTATGTCCCTAACACTGACTGAAGGAGGGTAAACTGACTACTTTTCAAAAAACTCAGGACACAGTCTTAGACATATTTGCGGCTTGTGGAGTGCGGCCTTCTCTCCAGGTGCTTCTATGCACTACACGAGCCCGCAGACAGCCTGCCTCCACCGGACTGGATGGCCACTTCCTGCGTATGCATCTTCCCTCCTCCACTGAATGGGCGCTTCTGCCTTTCCGATGTCACGTGTATGGAATATGACTAATACTGAGTATCCTGAGCAATCACATACCTCACATTGCTTTCGTGGATGGCAGGTAATAGCAATAATTCATTCAAAAAACAGTCATTCAGATGGCTGAATTCTACAGTGGCACTTACTGTTAAAGTAGGGAGCAGTGAACACATAGTTATCATTATCTAAACTCCTCTTATAGAAGCTGTCCTCATATGTTTCCGGGTTCTCCTGCCAATTTTCTCCAGCCCTAGGGAGGAAACGGCTCATCATTTTCATGTTTTACTCTACGTGCTACCATACTTTTCCCTTCGTGCACATCACTGAACTTTACTGATACGTCTGCACTCAGGTATGTCTAAAGAGCTCATACTAACGGATGGTGTAAATGACACGCGTGACTAAGTAGCAGATCGCCATACAATGAAACTCAGGATTGGAAAACGCGACTCCTGGCTTTACCCTGCCGTTTACTAGCCAGGTCATTATGAACAAGTCAGTTGACAAGTCAGGTAATATTGGTAAGCCTACACAGCCCACTACATGGGCTCTTCTGAAAGTAACCACCATTGAAAAACCAGTGAACACAATGCTGGGCCATGCAAATATCGCCAAAAGACAGTAACCACTATGTTTCTTTAACCAGGCGAGATTATGCTGGCAAAGACAAAAACCTCTTAAAATCTCTTACATTGTGTAATATGTATGACAAGCAAACACACCAACAGAAAAAACACTGAAGATTCACATAATCCCATTTTTGAAAGAAATGCAGTATTTTAAGAATGTAAGCACCTTCAACCCACTCCAATTTAATCTACTAACAATGCTCACTTTCTCTGAGGCGCAGCTTCCTGGCACAGCAACGTACATATCCTTGCAGTAGTCTGTTGTAATATGCTACTTTTTACAGACATTACTAGAACTTACTCTTTAGGATAAACTCTGGTAATCCCACCATCAGTCACAACAAACCGCGCCTTCACACCCTTGCTGGAACAGAAGACAGAAGGAGGAAACTTTCATTCACTTTACACTCTGTTAACGTATCACTTTAAGCTGTTGGCTATACAAACAGAAATAGAGTGAGTTCCTAGCATAAAGGAAGTCAACGGACATATGTCCATAGATGCAAACTATGTCTTAAAAGGTAAAATATTTCAGAAATAGTTACAGGGAGGATGCTTAAGGAAGATATTTCAGAGAAAACAGCAGTATGGTTGCATTTTGAGGCTCCAATAGGAGGTAAAAGAGACGACAGACCCAGCAGGAAGCCGTCCCGTGCAAGCGGAGTCCGTGTGCGGAGAGCTAGTGGAGAGAGTGTGCGTGGTGTAACAGAGCATAAGGCACGGGGTGATCCACAACAGGCAGGCAAGTCCCACGTATTGGCTTCTTCCGAATGGTCAGCCCACGGATGCTCCAGAAATCCACGCTGGGGAGCCTGCACCCCCTTGGTCCTGAACTTAGAACGTCATTTTAAACCTGACACTCCGGCCAGGTACGAGTTACATGGACAACAGACTGGCGGCTGCGTGCAGAGGGGTGATTTGCACTAAAGGCAGAAAAACCAGCTGCTGTGATTCCTGACAAGTGAAAACTCAGGACCTTGAGGAGGGAGATGAAAACAATTGGGGCCAAAAAACTTTCACCACTTGCTGACGGACTGGAAGTCGGGCGGAGAAGAGACTGCAAATGAGAACCACAGTCAGATTCCTCAGTCTCTCGCCTGTATGGGAGGCAGGGCTCCTAGCAGGCTAGGTGACCTACGTGACCTTTCACTAGAAACCCTACTTTACCACAAGCACCCCTTTGCTCATTCACACCGCACTCTAGACATATGTGTTAGGCTCAGTCATGGCACATGTGAATCCGGACACACCCACCACTGAGGACTCAATCAGTCAACAACTGGAAGATGCCTTTTTTTGAGGAACTGTTATTACAGATGATCAACTGAAAATTTAACAGACCTACTTTCCAAACACTTCCCAGAATAAAGCTAAGCTGAAAGACGGAATATTTCTTTTCTCTTAGTAAGAACAAATACTTACATGTTTTTCTGCTTACTCCAATAATTTTGCACAAGTTCATTTGTAAAGCCAGCATCCAGCAAGACTCTGTTAATCAAATCCGTGTTGCCTGCCACAAGAAAATGACAACCTCCATTACACCCACACTTTACCGAGGACAATCTCACCGCGTACATTCTCACTTCCAGAAGCGCTTCACGGTGAATACTGCTTCTGTGAAATACACCCTATTCATCTTCATCTTCCATAGTGTTCCTCTTGCTCACATTTTCAGGATATAGACACACTTCCCACTGGAAAACCCAATTCTACATGAGGCAACTTACTGTGCACACTTCATCAAAAAGATAAACTTGCCACATCGTCATCATTTCATAAGTAATTTTATATATACACATAAAACTATATAATATGACAGAGTTGACTCCTGCTTTCCAGACAAGGCACAGGATAACTTATCACAGACCAGCGCCACTCCAACATTGGCTTCTGGAATCCACTGCTACGGACGAGAGAGCACAGGCTTCAGGCGCCGTTTCTGGAATAACAGAAAGCCGTCCTCCTAGCCCAACGTCAAAGGTAATGGACGGAAAAGATGCCGAAGACCAAGGGCCAATTAAGGTGCGTTCTTAACTTAAAAAACCTGGCTCTCTTCCCTTCCGCCTGGCTCCTCTGGTCTGAAATAACCCACAAGTACCCTCTGAGGCTTCACATTTATGTTACGCTTCCTTTCCATTCAGGTAAGAAATACATGGTCTACATGTTGTATTACTATAAGAGGTGGTGGTGGGATCGGCTGGAAAACATTTCACTTCCTTTCATTTAATCTTTCACCCAACATCAAAGAGTCATTTTAATCCACTTTTTACACTTCCTTTCCATCCGTTCTTTTACATTACATAGTGCGAGAGACAATCACTTTACCAATAGCCCATTTAGATAGTACCTCGAACATTTTAATTCCTAAGTCCTTTTGGGTAAAACAAAATAAAAGAGACCATTATTCTACTCTGTAATATAAAGCCACGCTTCACGTCATTCCATACTTTTATTGGTACTTTGATTACCCTCTAAACCTAAAATGTATCTTGGAATCTGTGCCCTGCAGCTGATTACACACACTAACTCGATTCCCATTTTACACATACACACTCTTGCTTGTTTTCACATGACTGCAAAAATCAAGGTGAACATGAAGAAGGCAGCAACTCTACAGCACACACATGTAGGAAGCGCAATAAATTATTTCACACATCAGGTGTGACCTGCAACTTTACTTATAGATTAAGAACTTTTCTGAAGCAAACTTGAAAAATTTGCTGATTTGTTAGCTTTCAATCACTGATACCTACTTTTAGAGTTAGTTTTACAGATGATTGATAACATGAAGTCAGGTGTAACTGAGAGAAATCTACAGTATATAACGCTAACAGAGGAAAATATACATTCTTTTATAGCTATTAGCTCTTTCTCATAATTAAAAAATCCAGTAAGTTCTCAACCCTTTACAGTTATATAATCACTTCATCCAGTCTCCACAGATTTCTAGGGGAGGGAGAAAAAAGATAACTGACATGAAGGAAGAGACTGAGGAACGTAAATAACAGCACTGCTAAGTAGTGCCATAATGCTGAAAGTATTTTCTTTAAAACGTATTTATACTTCTCTGAGCCAAGACACATCCAATTAAAGGAACAGTCAATCATCTTACTGTCTCAGATGTCTTGCAAATGCCCCTTCCTTACTCCTGGCAAATAAATGATCACACTGAAAGCTCCACTCAGACTGAGCTGACAGTGCGCAGGAAGTCCTGACAGCATGCGTGTTCATGCGTGATCAGGGCAGACTTCAGCGGCCCTTGACAGGCTTGCAGTGGCTCTTTAAAGCCACTACCTCATTCCTGTTAGAGGGACCAAGTAGTTATTTCTTCTTATGAGAGAAACACGCTTCACAGCCAGCTTTAAGACAGGATTTGCATTTTTTACAACCGAGGAACCACTGTATTTTCATACAGACCAGACAACATGGGGAGAAGGAGGACGGTGGGGGAAGGGGAAAAAAGGAAAAACAAGAGAAAGAGGACAAAAAAGTTACTTATATGTGTACTTTTTCCCTCCAAGTTATATTTACTCAGGTAATTTCTCCCAGGCAATCGGTTTTCCTCTTATTTCCTATGTACACCGCATTTTCCCCGACAGTCCTTTTTAATACATTTCTCTCCCTTAAATTACCCTACTTAAGATTTTAAACTGTTTCAAAAACCAAGAATCATACGTCTCTATGAAGTTTCATAGTATGCACGATATGCATTTCTCTGTAAGACACATACAGTGGTTACACACCAATTACTACAATTTATCTATTCCAACTTGATGTACTTCATACAATGCGCTATCATACATACGTATTTTTAACATTTAAGTGAGATCAACATAGAATCTGAAAGAAAGATAACCCTTCAGTGATGTATCATTTCTATTTTCTTTTCATACTATCCATATTACAACTCTTTAAATACATTGGGTGATACAAGTAAACTGATAAAAATGTGTTTTCCTCTATGCAGAAAGAATAATGCCATGAAAATCTTTCAAAAGATCATTCCAAATTAAATTTCCAAAATTTGCGAGCAGCAGAGGGAACCATGTCCTACTTTCATCTAAACATCAGCAAGCATTTAATACCTGACTCAGAATATTTGATTTTACTTTATAATACAATCAAACTTCTTTAATGCAGAAAAAAAGAAGGGCCACTTGGTTACATTTCGCCACTAAAAATTCAAAACAGTAAATAACCCAGCACACCCACAAACTAGGCTGAACCCAGCTTTGACTGCTTTGGAAATAACCACAGCGAAGCGACTGTTGCAAATGACTGCGTACTTACATGATGGGTTGTTTGGAGTTTTCCTATCAATAAACTCATTAAAATTTAAAAGAAATTCGGTGTTATTCTCTGATATTTTAAGGTCATTGCAGTAATCCCTACAAAAAAAAATTTGTGACATTAGACATGAAAATCTAAACTTTAAAAATTGTACACAGTCATCACAGGAAATGAAAATACTTCTTTTCTTTTTAAATAGCTGGACGACTGCACGCTACTGACTTTCTGGTGATGTCCGTTTCCTCACCTCTGTAACAGAGCTATACTTTGACACCAAGTGCTAAGGATTATAGAATATGTATCTACGTCTGTATCTATATGTACATCTGTATATCTCAAGCATTGGACCTTTGCACAGCAGGTACTCAGTAACTGCTTCTGTTACTCCCACTATTATCACTGTATGCTGGAGTTTTGCTATGTTCATGTACAAATTAAGACTGAAACACTGAAATAATTTATTAAATATTGACAATAAACCGATACTGTTAACATTTTCATGAGAAGTTACTGTATTAAAAAACAACCCACTTTAGAAACAGCAGCATTGATTTCTCTATTCACTAATTTCTGTCACTCTTGACTTAACACAGGACAGGTGTGCCTCTACATTCCAACAACTGCACAACTCTGTTTTGGCACATGAAACACAGTAGTCATACAGATACGCAGTTGGAAAAGGGAAGAATCTTAATAGTCTTTTCAAACAATTGTATCTATTCCTTTTCTTTCCAGACTAACACACCACAGATTACTTATCTGACATTTCCTGATAGTTCTGATATGAAATCTTACACATTCCGAACTTTTTGTACTGTTATGTCAAAATCCAGTGCACCATCTTACATATACGTTGAATGAGGATTTCACCTGTCTGTGACTTTGCAATACCACACACTGGTCATTTGGAAAATATGCGTTACACAGACCTTCCGAGTGGTGACACATTTCACTGTTCAATACTGAAAATTCACCTTCCTTAAAAACATTACTGATTCCCCCACACAAGTCTACTTCTGAGAGGCTGCCTTGCTTACAGTAACAAATAGAATAATACATACACAGTACCACACAGTTACAAATATAACTTTCCTAAAACAGATTTTCTCATTGTGAACAAATACTTTCAGTTTTCTTCAAAGTAAAACGCTCACTTAATTGATTTTTCAGAAAATGGCGCCCAAATACACAAGTTTCAATAATCAGTTATCTCTCATTCATTTTTCCCAGTACAATGATATTTCCTGGGAAAAAAAGGGGGGGAGCTCCTCTTTCAGCTCTCTATTCAAACAATCACATGGGAGCTTTTTTTGAGAAACGGTCAAGTTACTCTCGTATGCAGGAAAACTTCCATTTTCTCATATGAGTCAAATGTCAATAAAACTATTACTTCTTTGCTTTTAATCAAGGATATTTTACAGTGAAACTGCCTTTTTCCCCCGATGCGGGCGGCTGGCAATGAGGATTACAATGGCGACCAGTGCACTTCCGCGCCACTGCCTTGATGCCAGATCAGGTCCCAGCTCCCCACTGCTTTTCTACTGTCACTGCAAATGGCAACATGATGAAAGAGACGAACGCCATTTACCACTGTTAGGAAAATAGCTTTGTCCTCGCGGACTCTCTGAAACACACTTTGCACAAACACTCCCTTCTCCTGCCTTTTACTACAAATTAGTAACTACTATTTATTTAGAGCTACTTTCTTATCAAGAGATTTGCCATATATTTTAAAGCTTACAACACCTCTATGAAAGAGGTATTACTGTTACCATCTTGCAAGTGAGGACACTAAGAAAGAAACGAGGGGATTTGAGTAACACAGCCAGGACAAGGAAGACCTGGGAAACAAACCCTTGCTCTATACTCTTCCTCTACACTTTCCGTTACTGTTCCCATTAATAACAGTGATAAAAAAGACCCATGGCTGATGTCCCACCTAAATGTCTCCTCTAGCCAATTTTTCTTTTCTTTACTCCAACTTTCTATTTATCTTTTGCAACTCTTTCAAAACACGTTCAATGATTACTTTCCTAGAACACGTTTCCTATACAGACATTTTACTCTAAGGTACTGGATAGTCTTTTGAGGTTCCCCGAGCATGCCTGTACATAGTCAGTGTAGACACCTCTGTCTTACAGTGGCGAGGAAACGGATTCAAATCCCGTATTACTAAGCATCTCTAAACTGTTTCCTTATCTTTGAGAGGGAGTATTAATACTAACAGTTCTTCTGAGCGAAGACTATACTCATGCATGTAAAAGACTTAACACATGTTACCTGGACTGGGTACTCACTGGTCTGTCCTATAAGCTACAACACTTCTTCCCTTTTCTGGTATCTTCTCATTCCCTAAACACACAGGTGAACTCCAGTCCTCCAGCCCATCATACTGATACTGTCTGTGACTTAGGCCACAGACAGGGTCCACAGGCTACTCCTTACTGAAGTAAACTAAATCCATTGCCCGTGACTTGGAAAGTAGAATTGAGAAATACCTTTATCCTCTCTGGGAGTACCTGGACTTTTACTCTGCTTAATGGTGAGGCTGAGGCATCCAGTCTGCATGGTCTGTTATTTAATAACTGAGAGACATGAGTGAAGCAGTTGCCCAGAGAAAAAGACATCTCAGATGCAGGGAGAGTCTCAGCAAGAAAGCACCCCTGACATTTCCATCTCTTCTCACATCTGTGCTATGTGGATATTTTCCTTTCTGCTTCCAACTAGCTTTAGCAGTTACGTTGCTCAGTTATTTGTACTGGAAACACTGCTAGTAGCACTACAGGTCTTATTACTAGTGTGATTTCTAAGACATTCTTCAAATATCTCTAGATTCTCCACTCGCCAAATACTTATAAAACCCCTACTGAGCATCAGGCAACGGATTTGACTTGAGTATGAAATGTAAGTCAAACTGATGCCATCATGTCTCTTCTGGAGAAAGTCAATAACATGAAATGTGCCGGCGCTCTAGTGCAGGAAATACAGCATTCCATGGGGCAGCAAGCAAGGGTGTCTAATCCAGTGATGATGGCAAAGAAATTCCCAGATGAAGGAGCTTTGAGGTTGGAGCTTGGGAGTAACTGGCGGTGTGTGCATTCACTCCAAAACAGAAAGGAAAATTAGCAGATGGAAAGGGTAAGTACAAAAAAACAATGCATTTAGGAAGTCAGACAAGTGTTCTATGGCTGGAATTAGGAGCAGAGGTTGGCAGGCTGTTGCTTACAGGCCCAGCGAGTACACGACTCAGGCTCTCTGGGCCACGAGGTCTAAGCTGCAACCACTCCACTCTGCCTCTGGAGGGAAGGCAGCCGCGGACATCAGCCAAGGTCCGCGGCCACGTGCCAGTACACCTTCCTGACTGCCACACGCAGCCACTCTCACGCTGCAGTTTGTCAGCCCCTGATCTAGAGGAGACAGGACCACAATGGAACCTGGGACTAGCGACAGAACATTTCAACGCCACAGTATACAGTACAGATTATCATGAGGACAACACTGAGCCATTGGTTAGGATTTAGCAGATGAGAAACTTGATTTTACTGAAGTTTAAAAACCTCTCCGGTGGCAGAAGGGAGACAAGAATTGGGAGATAAGGGCACAACACTAGAGGCAGTGAGGTTTCTCAGGAGGCTGCCGGAGCAGTCAGGCTGTGAGAACGCCGTGGCTGGTACTAGGACGCAGGCAACAGAGTTTGATGATACACTTGATACTCATAAGATTCTTTCTACTTGGCAAGACCTGTGGATTGATCAGAAGTTACATGGATGTGGAAGACACCTATCAGGCTTCAAGACTGGGCATTTGGGGAGGATAATTTTCTCGTCACGGAAGCAACACAGACAGAAAAGTTCTCCAAAGAGGACACATGTTTAGGAGACACTGAAACTGAAGCACATTCATGAAAGATTCGTGTTACGTTCCACAAACATAGATGTCTCGTATTGAAATACATACATATATCTATATCTATATCTGTATCTACCTATCTAGTAGTCCCTATGTCTGGAAATATACTGTTTCATCTTATACACTAACATACAGTCTATAAACCACATTTTCTGTCTATCCTGTTACTTTCCTAATTGAGACATGTAGTCAGCTTACAGTGCTGTACTAATTTTGGGTGCACAGCATAGTGATTCACTTATACACACACACATACATATTCCTTTTCATATTCTTTTCCCTTACAGGCCATTACATGCTATTGAATATAGTTCCCTGTGCTATACAGGAGGACTCTGCTGTTTATCTGTTTTACATACAGGATTTAGTGGGGGGTGGAGGGATACATTCAGTTTGGGATCTGCAGATGTCCATTTTAACTTCTTAAATGCTACGACCATCCTGTAGATTTGGAAGCCATCACCTGAAACTGTGAGCACAGAAAAGGGGGCGTCCCTGGGATATCTGCAGCCTGGGAGTTGGAAGACCAGAGCGCCAAGGCCAGCAGCCTCATGTGAGTGATGCGCATAAGAAGGAGAGACTGAATATGCAGCCAGGGAGGGAGGAGGAAACAGACGACAGCCTGTCACCAGGTAAGACGAGGCAGAGAGCCCAAGGAGCCTGTGCTCGGCAGCGTCTCACACCCGGGAAATGCACGCGGCAGAGCTGCTCGAGGGCAGAGTCACTCACACGGCCAGGAACATGTCTGTAAGCAGCGATTTCTCCAACAGTTCTGTATACACATTCCCCATATACTCAAGATGAACCAACAATTCAGATATTCTGACACAGAAATAAACTGAAAGAGTAACTCAGACCAATTTCCATCACCCTTCTTTGAGTTCTTAGAGTCATGTAAGAAGGAAAAACTATGAGACTTAAAGACTACAAGATTCTGAATCTACTTCACTCCTTAATTTCACCTAGATTAATAGGATGTTATTCATTTGTATTATGATATGTGTCTGCTGGACATCGGAAGTCAACAACTAAGGGGAGAAACAGGAATAAAGAAACTCTCGGATTACAGAATGGAGTTTCGAATCATTACAAGACAACAGAGGCAGACATGAAGGTGTCTATCAGAGCTAAGTAAGGGGGATGACATGAGAGAGAAAACTGGGCATCAGGAAAAAATGTTAACCTTAAAACTCCCGTGAGACACTGTCACTGTATTAAAATACGTCTTCCCACAAACCTGTGTTAAGAGTCTTAAAAGACTACGACTGAAGCAGTCATTCTCTGAGGTACCCACATTCTCGTGTGTATATCCGCACAGAAGTATCTGTGTATCTACGCATATCTACCTCCGGGTGCATGTACATACACAGAGTCTGTACGTGAATACACAGTCACAAACGCAAATACACTCTTCATTTTTGTGGGATACACTGTTAGCGCCAACAAAATCACAACCGACATCTATCCTGTTCACTACATCTCCCCAGGCCAGCACATTGCTTAGCACATGGCAGCTGCTAAGTACCTGGATGACTAAATGTCAGTTTCAGTTATTGTTCCCTTTTGTCCTATGAGACGGCACGCGATAACCCACAGCAGTCTCGACCCGACCTCAGACCTAATACTGAAGGCCTGTGCATCCACATAAGCTATAAAACAGAAAGCAAAACAAAACAAGACCTACCTTGGTGCTAAGAACGTATAGCCAGATTCTTCAAAATTATCTGGCTTCAGTGTTTCTGAATCTACAAAGATAACGTTACAGGGTTAGACAAACAATCCAGAATATGCAACCAGAGATTCGATGACAAAGCATTTGGAAAAAAAAATACCCTAATTAATAAGAAAAAAAAATAGACTTACATCCTCCATTAAAACATATCAGGGACTATACAGTTCCCCAATACTTTCCAGTAATAAAATCAATTTCACTTTCATAAATGGACGAAATCACTTCCATCAGAGACAATGCTGTGTCTATACTTTTCCCATGTACTAACCCAACCAGAACCAAGATATTGTTTAAAAAGCGATTCACGTCCATGATACATCAGAGGGATTCATTTGAAAGATCATTATAAAAATGTTTACCAACATTATGATAAAGACAATGATGCCAATAAACCCCATGAATGCCCTTGGTGAGTTGATAACATTCTTCACACTAGTATGAATTAGTAACTGGAAGGAGCAAAACACATATTTCACTCTAAGAAAAAACTTGAAAGTGAAACCGGCTGCGTATGAAAACAAGCGTATTCTCCCCCCCTCCTTTTGCCACGACCGTCTGAGTGACCATGGAGAGGCACAGAGGGTAATACCCAGAAGGAACAGAAACATCACTGGAAATGTCAAAGTGTACTAAACAGAAAGAAATAGAGCAACAAGAAAATACTTGCCCTTCATTTTGCCCTTTTTTGCTGTGAAAATCCATCAGAAAGAGAAAGCAGGGAAACAAAAAAAAGAGGGTAAAGCAAAGGGGGTCACAAACAATATTTTATTCAATGCCTTTCTTGAATAAAAATATTGTGCACAGATCAAAGGTTTACTTATGTACAGCTGTAGTCTGGGAAAAAAAGACACATTTTTGAGGACTGGAAAGTATGTCCTGCCAATTACTACTAGAGCACCCTCTCTGCACTGTGCTTATTTCAACGGTCGATTTCAAGGGTCTATTTTGGAAAGTGGTTAATGCAAGTGCAATGCCAGTGATGCTAGCCTGGAACCAGAAGCACTTACCAATCATGACAGACCCACTAGGCCTCCCCTCATTTACCAAGTGAAGAACTAGCTCATGCAAAGGTGCTGCTTGTTAAAAGACCATCATATCTATCTAGCTAGTGAAAGTGGAACTATAAATGTATAAATTACCACAAGGGACAATGAGAACCAGGACTGCACAGAGCAAAAAAGAACTGACAGAGACACGCAAGAAACTACAGCTTATGTAAGGTCACATGTAAGAGGTATATACATATATATATATTCACTATACATATATATATTTTACCTTCTCGCAACGGAAAAAATTTAGGTTGTTAGGAATAATACAGTAATGTACAAAGGATATGATGGTCATTTTACTTCACTAAATCTAGTCACCCAAGACAAAGAATGACTTGAAATATGCACCTAGAGTTAATAATTACTCCACATTCCAACTGATGCTTTGAGAAAAGAAAAAAAACCCACTCCATTTGAGTTATTGAAGACATTAATTTAGATTATTAGAAATTCATTGCCAAACCAAAGCCAAAGACCAGTGCAATTTACTTTATTCAAAGTCGAAGATGTGGAGCCCAATATTACTGCCAAATGTAAAAAGAAAAAAAAAAAGGAGGAGAAGAAGAAGAAAAGAAGAGAAAAGAAAAAACTTCACTAGCATAGTGCCATGAGTAGAGACTATGTGAAACATTCTGCGCCAGCTAGCAGACCCTCAAAACAACAGCAACACACAGGGCACAGCACTGCAATGATTCTACAAGCACAAAGCGAGGCAGGGGAGGATGGTGGGGACCGCCAGTGACACTGGAGTACCTGCTCATATTCTATCTGTGTAGAATATTTCTTGTTCCTTGCATGTTTGGAATGGGTTAGAATCATCGCTGTTGATTTGGTAGTAGCACCTACTGAAAGCTATAAGCCTTGGGTATTCCAAAGTCTAGGCGGAGTCAAACCTCTGCTACTAGGAGATAACAAAGAGACCCTGCAGCCGCTTTCACAGTACTTACATCTGGCCTGAGTTATTGTCTCTTCTATTTTGGCTTTTATATAGTAAAAACTGTAGGTTGGTAATACCAAGGCCAAACTGCAATAGAAACAAGAGAAGCATAAACACAAACAAACAAACAAAAATGAAACATAACTTAAAAAGAGACACATCAAGATCATGGAAAATCCAAGTCTTCCTCGTGGGAAGGAAAAGCCCTATTACTTTGACAGGAAAATGCTTTCAGCAAATAGGGCACTTCATTCCGTCTTGCCATCCAGAGTTACCCAGTTCCTTACATTGCATAGAGTCAGAAGAGACACACGGAAAATAAGCTACTATATGCGCCCATCCATATATTAGCTGAAGAAGAAATGTCATGAGTACTACATTTGTAGAAAAGTATATTAAACTACTTTGTTGACAAAACCACAACACTAGGGGTAGGTTTACACAGGTGAACATATCATACCACTTGGCTATCCTCTCCTGAATGAATCATATACAGTGTTATAGCGCATGCTAGCAGGTGTACACTCTTAAAACTTACACACGTAAAAAGTATTATTGTCATTACTGCCACACAATGCATACAATCATCCGAGGAATACTCTTTTGAGCAGGTAAATACCTACTACTGTAAACCTCATCTCTAGGCAAGTTCCTCAGCGTCTCTTAGAAATTCAGGTTCCCTTACAGGATGTGCTTATTCTGTTGGTTCTTACTCAACACTGTGACTGCATTTATTTCAAGTTCATTGATTGTGGATATCCCTCACCATTTGAGAGAATGTAGTGGGGTACAACAGGAAAACCATCTTGAGCTCGATAGTTCACAAGACCCATGGGGCTACTGCAGTCTTGTGGCAGATGTACCAACGGGGGAAGAGGTGCAGTGCAAATCTCAAGCCAAATTCAGAACACTGTGAGACACCAGGACTGTCAACCAAGCCTGCCAGCCAACTTTCTACGAAATAAGAAGCTGTCAGGCAGGTCACCGTACTCATCTTGAGGTTGCCAATTAATAAAACACATAATGTGTTAGAACTGTTGAAAGATGTCAGAATATTATGCAGTTTCCAACAACAACTGCATCTGTGTAATTCTGTTCCTCTCACAACAGCTGATGTGCATGTGGGGACATAATTAATTATTCCACAGCCACACTTACAGCTGCAAAGGACCTTGGAACTAATGAATGCCAAAAATGACGGTATCTCTTGATTCTCAATGCAACACTTTTCAAAAAATGTTTCATTACTGTGACCAACTGAGTTATTTCACATTCATTGAAAACCTGTAACCCAAACTTTAGCAGTGCACAGGAACTAATGCGTCTCTCTAGCCTTCTGAGTATTTGTAAGCAGGGGCAGAAGGCCTTCTTTTAAATCACTCAAGCCTCATCTTCCCCACGCTTTTGGGATACATGTCCAAACTGCAGCCCCCTATTTTTTCCTTTACTGAACAATACAGAACAGGACAAAATATAAAATTGCAGGTCTTCCTTCTTACAAATATATGTTACCGATTCACTCTCTGAAGTGGAAAAAAGCAAGGGATTATTTGCTACAATTTCTTTCTGCAGTCACGACAGCAAACCAAGGGCATGCTTGTTACCTCCAATTCCCAAATCTGGCTCCATCATTAAGTAACTCATAGACTTTCCTTATAGGAAAAGGTCAGAGATATAAAATGTTACATAGACTCATGAAAATCTCTACATTCATTTTATAGGTAACTTCCTTTAAGTGGAGGCAGAGATTAAAATTAACATAAGCAGTGCAATTAGTCTGAAAGCAAGATGACCTTTCATGATTCACTTGCCACTTACAAAATGTTGAGCAGAATCACTGAGCATTTGAAAATTGTCTCCTACAAATCCCTCTCCAGGGAAAGTATGACATTTTTATTGCCCTATCAGCATTTACTCCTAAGAGAAACTTCAAATTAAAACCAGTAACGTTACATCATGTGGCTGCCACAATGTCACCCCGTAAGCTTGGGTTACGTCTCATGCACCATAAAAAATACTGTGGAAACCCATAAGGAACACAATACAAGTTTCACACTTGACATATCAAACATACATTTTACTGGCCTGTAAGTCTCCAGTTGTTATTAATAGCTACATGTTATTTTATTGAAAAATACAGTTACACTCAATCTACTGGTTTTATCTCTTGAGACAACAATTATTTCTTCAACCTACAGCAGCAGATAAGATCTCTACTCAACATTCTGAGCCAACGTTGCTGTCCTGTGCAGTGGCTGCTGTCTCTCTCCTTATAAAACCCACAGACCACGGCTGCTGTATTGTCTCCTAGGGATGAAAGTCTCACAACGCCAGTGGCCACCAGATGGATGGCACAGCCCCCGCAATATTTCTGTAACTCCCATAAACATGGTTAACTTAGTTACATGGAATATAACATACTTTTCCACCCCATCACTGAGACCACCAAAAATCCAACTTTTCACCAAAGAGCATTCTATTAAAATAATTACTATATTTCAAAATACATAATATCAAGTTATATCAAGGCTTAAGGAGACAGATATTACTAACTGATATTTGATACTCAGTGAAGACATCAGCTGAGAGAAAATGGACGGGCAAGAGACATGGGCTTGAGGAGAGAACACATGCTATCAAAGTGATTTATAAGCATCTTGCAGTCACGGGACTACTGACATCACCAGGCACCACTGACGTCCACTTCAGGTTAGAGGTCCTGAATTTCAGGTGATGTTACCAGTCAACGAATATTCTACTTCGATTTGTAGCCATGTGGTACAGCATGGGGCTGGTAGTAACTGACTTTCATTGGGATTGGGATTGGCTACACTGATGTTTGCCAAACCTGAGTAGGATGAAGGGAATTGACGGTGTGTGCAGGAGGGTGAACATACTAAGACCCAGGAATTCATCCTGAATAAAGAGAAGTTCAAGGACATGAAGGAGGCAAGGACAGTGAAAAGGTCCAAGGGATTGATGCGTTTCAGGTCTTAATTGAGTCAGAGGACTGTTGCAGTTGGGCTATCAGAGGGAGGAGATGGAAAGCTAAAATGTAGTGATCTTAGAATTGCACACACACATGATCAAATTCAGATTCTGATGAAGCTGCAGTCTTAGAGCAGCAAAACATGACTTTGGAGTAGGTAGCTAAGATAGCGGAACGGCAAGGTCAGTAGAGGAGAGGAGATGAAAAACACAGAGTCCACACACCAGAGGCATCCCCTGTGTCAGTGGTATGCACAGTGTGGTCCACGGACCTGGCCCACCTGCAAACCATCATCGGCTCAGGTGAGGTACAGACATTGAGAGTGAGTACTTAGAAATTCTTATAGCCATTTCATATACTACTTTAATGTCTATAGACTCTAATCAATTTTTTTTACCTTGAGTTCTCATCTCTTCTACAGTTTATTTCAGTAAACAGCATTTGCTTTATCTTATGTAAGTCTGGGTATGTCACAAACAGGCTTACAGACAGTGATCTAAGTGAACGTAGGAGAGGGTGGCGGTGAGGCAGGAACCGAAATCTCACAGGAAAGAGAGGAAGATGACTGCGAAAAGGGAGGACTGGGGGGTGCTGTGATCTGCTGATATAAGATCCAAAGATGGGGCTGTTTGCTAGGGAGGAGGAAAAGAGCATGAGTAACAAGAAGGACACAGTCACACTGGCCTCAGCTCTACGCGGATGCAGGACGCAGGACCACCGGGAAAGCTGTGACCTCAGAGGTAGTGCAAGTGAAGAAAATGCTCAGCAGCTATTGAAGAAGGGGGACTTTCCAAAAAATTACAGTATATTAGTCTGCCCAATTTTCCAATCAATTGAAGGGATCAGAATGCTTCCGAATTTCTATTCATGGGGTAACATCTCATCAGTTGAGCACTTTATATCACATTACACTACGCTGTTCTAAGTTTTATTTTTAAGTTGCTTTGAAACCTAACTGCAAGCACTGTAAATTAAACAATTTAAATGAGGAGGTCTGCGGCCATGATGACTACAACGTAAAGGGAATTTGTCAACACTTATTATTACGAACATCAATATACAAAATACCAAATATATGCATATCATGTAAGTTTCACTTCTACATTTTATATTCTTAGCTTTTCCCCATTTTTTACACTTAAAAAAAAAGAATCTATAAGCTTAATACATTTTAATGTTGGCAAGAATAACACTTCTATTGAATTACATTGAAAGTAGCTTATAAAATATGTAAAGACTTAATATTCATCCACTGGACAAATCTCTACTAAAAATAGGTTTAAGACACTGAACTGAATACTCTTATATAGCACACATATAAATGTAGTTTATTACCTGTAATCTGTGCCATTGACAGGAGTCCACGTGTACGTCCTGTTTCCTTTGTCAATATATCTCTAAAACGTAAGTTTGATATAGTCACTATCACTTTTTATTCTATGTGGCTTTACATAAAGAGCAGAACACTAGGATCTATTTATAAATTCAGTGGTCATTCAATGCCCCTCTTCATAAATGTCTGATCTAGTCAATTCTACAATTATTTCTTCTGTTATGGGAGTATGTGTGTGTGAAGCAAGATTTTAAGACCAAAATAATGCCCACATGACAAATTTAAGGATTTTTAAGTGCAAGATCTTAGTATTTTATGCCAAATAATTAACCTAAAAGTGGAAAAAGCAAAATTCCCTGAAGAATAAATTTTAATAATGAAATGGGACTTTGAAATATTACACGTTGCTCAGATATTTCCACAGTAGAATATCTGTTTAATAGAAACTGGTAATATCAGGAAATGAATGCAATCATTCAGTCTGGATCCAAGTCTATCCAAATGTTAATATCCAAATGTATTAGCAACTTACTCTTCTTATTAGGCCATTATTACAGTATTTATCTACCGTAAGAGACTAATTACTCAGTATCACTGAAGGTCAGACAAACAACTAAATCCACCAGGGAACATAAGCACAGAGCTGAGTAACTTCATGGATATTGAACACTCTTTCCTGTGTAGCTCCTGGACAGCAGTAAGACATGACGATTCCTTCTTCCATTTGGTGTGGCGATGTCCCACAGGCATTCTTTCACACTGTCAGTTATCTCCAGCTTCATCATCCTCGTCAGAACACTAACGTTTACTAGCACTTTCCAGGCATTGTCTCATTTAATCAACACACTGGGGTAAATGCAACGTGACTCTTCTCTACAACTGACTGATGACGACTCTTACAGAGGACTGTAAGTGGCAAGAAGGAAACTCTATGCTGCCAAGTTCCTTTTCTAACAACTACATCATGCTGCTTCTCTACATCACATATTCCCGTGGCTTTATTTCTCTGTGTGGAGTGTGTGGGAGGGAGCGCAGGAGATGCTCAGGAGGTTTTCAGACTTGGAAAATTCTTCAAATAACTAACAGATATAACATTTACCTGTTCGTTACTACTCGTAAAAAACCCTTGGCAAACTAGCATTGTTCAGCAAGTTATAAAAAATAATATCAAAACTATCACATTAGGCAAATAAATGTACCAGACAATGTTCTCTTCAATACTATTAACAGGAAAATTCTATAGGTGTATATTGGTCAAAAAGAAGACTTCATAGTAAACTGAAAGAGAGAAGTATCAAAGTGATTTGATAGAAACCAAAATTAATTGGTAAGTTGAAAAGAATATGCAGGTCAAGGAGTTCTTATTGGCCAATCGACAGGAAGACACTGGCCGAAATGCTGAGTGGTTTACATCTTTCTTCTAAAAAGTCAGGGGGTAAATAGCCTGGCTAAAAGGCTAAGTAAATAAAGTTGATGTTTTCACAAAGACTGACATTGATATATATGCCTCCCCGCCTTGCACTCCAGTAATGTGGCCTCATGCTATTAGAATGAGGAAAGCTACGTGCTAAGGAAGCACTACATTGAGATCCCATCTCCTTCCTAGGGAGAGATCTGCTGAGGAATTCAGGAGAAACGTTACATTTAAAGTGGATGAGGGGGGAGGGTATAGCTCAAAATCCTGTGTTCAGTCCCCAGAACCAACATCAAGTAAATAAATAAATCAACCTAATGACCTCGCTCCTTAAAAAAAAAAAAGGCTGAGATTGTAAAGGAAAAGACTTAAGTTTTACATAAAGGCTTAAATTAACCTTCCAAGCTCAAAAGCTTCTCAGTTCTATTTATTTGTCAAATATGCAAACAGATGAGGGTGTATTTACTCCACATGTAACTGATAACAGATGGACACCCTTCTCCTATTCAAGGAGTTTTCCATGTCAACATGAAACAATACAAGGGCTACACAGTGGTACCAGTAATTTATGGCGGTAGCTGTCTCACCACTGGATTTAATTTCAAATTTAAATGCAGGGCAATAGTGCATAAACAGTAAAAGAATTTAAATCAAGCCAGAAACAAGTAAACAAAGAAAAAACTAAAAACACTTTACTTAATATGTGGAACTCAACAATTAGCACATCTCCATACACAAGCCATATAAAACATATGGCTATTACATATTAACTTCAAATCTGCATGACTGAAATGGCCTCAAAGGAAACAGCACATCCTACTGTGTGCTCTTTTACTGTTAAAAAACATGGAGCCAAACTGTAATTTTCCAGAATATATTGTTAATCATACAAGAATCCATCAAGAAACCTAAAGCAACATGGCTGTGTAACAATTTCAAAGAGAGAAAAATCTCATTGAAAATATTCCTCCAGCAAAGAATGCTTTAAAAATTGTTTCCTAGAAACAGCCCTTTTTTATGAATACAAATTATTTAACAGATTAGACAAACTAATATCAGTTATCATTATTAATATTTTTTTAAATTACAGAATAAACCCCACTTAATTCTTACCTCATCTTGAGATTTAACCAGAGTTCTGAATGTTTTCTCCCCACTTTCTCCATCTATCATTTTATTTCGGATCTAAGAGAAAATGAAACAATTCCTTTATTATTGCAGGTACTCAACTCACCTACTGAAGTGTGGGAATATTCCTTTAAAAACTGCCACATTATTGCTATTTTACATTAGTTACAAATAAGAGGAACAGCGTTAATGAAATCCATTTCAATCAATCATTAATTTGTGAAATGTAATTAATAGTGCTCGATTACTTTACAGGACTGATTAAGGGGGCACTTAGACTCAACAGAGGTTAAACAATAACTACTTAGTTAGTGGTTGAAGAATCTCAAAACCAAGCTTCTCACCATTACATGATCTACTTTATCCTGTCAGAACGCTTTACAACAAATATTCATTTACCACGTGAGACTTCCCGGCACGACGCCCCTGTCTAGGGTAATGATATCACATAGATTCTCCTGTTCTACACTGAGAGAGTAAATGTGTAAAATGTGTAAAGCAAGTACAAATTGAAACACACTGTGATGAGTTATAAAAGAAACACGGTGGCCTTTGAACACATAACAGAAGGAATCCATCTCTCTGAAACAACGCTACCAATCCCTGCTCTGGAGCACCAGAGCCTGCTTCAAATCCTGGTTCCACTACTTACTAGCTGAGTAACTGGAGATAAGCTGTTTAACCTTCTGTATCTCCAACACATCATCGGTACAACATATGTAATGATACTGACAATGATAATAATAAACCGATTTCAAAGGCGATAGGAATCCATGACTGACATGTATCATGGACTCACTAAATATTATTAATGATTATCTTTATTATCATGGAACGCCCTCTCAGAGGAAGCAGCATGCAATTTTGCCTTTGAAATAACATACAAATTTTCTGAGTGAAGACTACTAAGACAAACATGGCAGTTTCCTCAGGGTGCTCACTGGGTGGCTGGATACTTAAAACTCCCTCCAGCTTTTCTTGCAATTCTATGCCAATGTCCTCCTATGTTTCTTATTGAAATTTACAAGTTACATTTATACTGAAAGACTTAAAAATCTATCTGTGGAAGTAGAAGGAAGAAAATTAAAGTCACACCCGACTTTTTTTATTTATTCCTTTTCATATGCTCTTTTGGATAAGACAGCCCAGGATCTAGACATTTTTAAAGACAATAAAAATCATCTTTGTGTATATAGTGCCCATAGAGAACCAACACAATGAAGCTGCTCAACAGATACTTATGGACTGAATCCCAGCATCTCACCCAAGGGTATTGTTCAGGCCAACGGACTGCACTCACCTCCACTTTAATATCATTCTCTAATTCTGCATCGAGGAAATCCAAAGTTACTGGCTCCTGAGATTTGGGGTTCTACACAGGAAGATAATAATTAAGCACACATGGCATTATAAAATGATGCTGTACATAGATTAACATAATGGACATTTACATATGACATTCATGCCACAAAAGTTACCTACCTAAGATATATTAAAAAGCTGACTAAATAACTGTAAAAAGGTATATATTCTGTCATATACATTTTAAAATAATAATAAGTAGGCTAGAAAATTGAGATTTAAGAGCAGCAGACAAATTTTAATTAATCACCAACTGAAGGCAGTTTTGAATGCTGTGTTAGGTAGTACATTTTTAATCACGACCCACTTACACTTTTTTTCTTTAACTGGGATGTGAAAGGAGCAAAATACAGCTATATGGAGAACATATTTGACAATAAAACAAAGGCAACGTGTAACTAATACACATTCTTTACTTGTATTCCGTAAAAAGTGAGAAATTACACGAGGGACACTGTTTTAAAACTTTGCTAAGCAAAACAAACTCTTCTCAGTTTATTCTTCCTTCTTAAAATGCATACAGATGCACGTTTGCTTCATGTATCTGAATCTCAGGGATTTTGCATTATGCTTCAGTAAGTCAAATTAGGTCAACTTTACAAAATGAAACTTGTGGTCAACACTTAGAGATTTTTATAAAGACTAGCCACTGTAACTGACGTCTAACTAGACTAACAACCCGTAGCTTCACTAGACACTGTTTTCCTGCTTAAACATCTCCTACTACTGGTTCTTGCTCGTGTGTAATAAGTTAAAATTCACTATGGAACAAGCAAATTATTTATTTATATAAACACATCAAACGAAACTGTTAATCTGAGAAATTTACCTCATGTGCCAATCATAAAATAAGGGCATCAAAATATCTGATAAACAAAAATACACTATTCTCTGATATCACTTACAAACTAACGTAAAATGCCACAGAATTTCAAAGTTCACTAGACTATAAAATTACACTAGCTGTCTACATTTTACAGTTGCAAAATTCCAGAAAGTGGATTTTTAATGCTTACTAAAATAAATGCCATCAAAAGATAACCAATTAGACAGAAGTAATAAATACAACTTATGCTACATTAGTGCAAAGTCAATGAAGTTTTACCAATTTCAGTCTCAGACTCTTCAAAAATATATTCAGATCATCATTATTTTAAGCACTATTGTAAGAGGGCTGATTACTCAAGTCAATACCAGTAATTAAACATGTATTACAATTAAACATATCTTACTTATCTCAAATGCTGAATGGCACAATATATATGACATATATTGGTTTCATAATTATGACAAAAATGCCCTTGAAATTACCTGAAAATATGACTACCATGAGTTTAGATACATGGGCATTCTTAAAGGCAAATTGAAAACAATATCAACCATGCCTGGCACTTTAATTTAAAACATATTCACTGCTTATGACCTTGATATCTGGATTCCAAAGTTTCTTAAATATTGAAAATAAGTATTAGATTATTCAGTAGGTGAAAATACTGATCACTGTTAGACAGCATCTTACTGGCTCAGATGCAAATACTCTTCTGAAAAGTAACAAATTTCATAAGAAAATAAAAGCCAGTACTGACAATAATTCTAGTGCTCTCTTTAAAAAAACCACCCTGAGAAAGTCTTTATCAAAAAGACACTCTAAAGTTGACAGTATTATTCAGAATTGCTTACAGCCCCGTGAAATACATTATTTTCACACAAACAGCCTAATATCAGCATTAAAATTTTAACTCACTGCAAAACAAAGTCAAAATACTCAAAATGATAAAATAAAAGCATAAATAAGATTATTATCTTACATGCAAATGGATAATGCATAGCATGATCAGACCCAAACAGCATGCATGGAGGAGGCATTATCAGCAGCAATTGGCATATGAAGATCATGTCCCAATCCAACATAAAAAGACACAGAGAGGAAAAGGAAATCATAAAAGAAAAATGTCAATGCATAACTTGTACTTTTTAAATGGCAATCTGGCTGACCATTTCTTTGAAAGACCATCCTGGGTACAGTGGCTAAAAAATTTAAAAGCAAGACTTCTCATCAGAAAGCACCAAGAAAGGCTGGGGAACCAGAATGCACTCTCTGCACTCCTGATACTTTTGTTGCACGTACATATCTAACAATTCTCATTTGCAATATTTCAGTACCAACTGATATAATGACTAGACCATTTGTGCAACTAAAATAAAAGGCAGAATGCAATGTTTTCAACATTTAAATACAAATAATTAGCAGTTAGTAGTATCAAACATACTACATAGTTCAAAACGGTATTTTCCACATTCAGGAGTCTTGTGTGGTTGCTAGTTTGCCATTTGGAGTTTCCTTAGAAGGAAGACAAAAATAAACCATTTTTCAGGTTGTTTGCTCTTAAATTATATCACAATAGTTTACATGCAATATTGGAAAGTACTGCAAAACTAAACATTCACTAAAATGAACATGACTGCAATGAGTATAATTTGAGATGATACACAAAAAGAATCATGCAAGAGTAACATAAAACAATGCAATGAATCAAGAAAAGACATAAATATAATTTTAACCTCTACAAGAATGATAAAAGACATGAAGACTTGCAACAACATGAAATTCAGATGGATACAGAATTCTGCAGCTAGAAGGGAACTGAGGCTTCCACTGACCCACTGGCCCCGCACTGTAGAACCACCTGGGAAGCTTTAAACTATTCTGAAACCTGGGCCCCCTCCCTGGTCAAATTAAATCAGAATTTTCATGACATGCAGCTGGGGATCCATATACATATTTAATTTCCTAGGTGACTATACCATGGAGGGTAGAAAGCAATGATTGGTTCAACATTCCTGCTTTTCATAAAACGAAACTGAAGCACTATGGGGTGGAGTGACCTACTCAAGGATGTAGTGTTGCCTGGGAGTAAAACAAACTAGAATTCAGTTCCACTACTTCGTAACTTCATGATCTCTTCTTACTATACCACCTCTCCATTATAACATCATCAACTTCTTAACAGAAATGATACGCTTACATATAAAACCTCAGGTCATATTGAACTTTTTTCGAAATTCTGAAAAGCTCTTACTAAACTCTACTCAGCCGTAGGAAGTAGCCGTTTATGCTGATTATTTTCATTGTACTTACAGAAATATGCATATGTAGGATAATGTTTACAGAATGCAGCAAATGAAGGGAAGATTTTATGATGAGCTTGCTGCAAAGGCAGTATTTATTTGCAATTTCGGACTTTCCAAATTAGCTAAAGGGAACTTTCTCCAACCTCTAATCCAAAGATGCACTCTTACAGATCTTGGCTTCAGTCGTGTGGCTTACAGGAACTATCACATCAGAATTCCATTTTATCCCCACCAAGAAGTTAATTTTACAGGCAGATTGTTAGGATTACATGGATTTGACTCTAATCTCCAAGTATTTAATAACCAATTTATTTTCAGAAGCCATTTCTTTATGATTGCTCTGATTGTTAACATTATTACACAATAGGCCAGCAATCTTTAGTTAGCACAAGCGTACCCTCTGCCATCATTAATAACATTTTTGCTCTAGTTTGCTGAGAAATATGCTCATCTCCATCTCATGCTCCAGAAGCTCGGTATCAGGAAAAAGGTGGCATTAATCATATGCTTTTAGGAAGAGAAGCTTAATCTCAACTCTGATTGAGCAAATTTGAAGGCACCGCTAAGTTCACTCACAGTTACCTGAACATTGGGTCTCCTTTTTCTTAAATTAATTGTTGGTGCACCTACACCAATAGGCTGAAGCAACAAAGAGATGGTAATTCACCCTACTACATACCGACATAGGGAAGGGTTACAGCCTACCATCACTTTCCGTCAGGTATTCCCTTGAGTAGAAACAGGTATCATACAGTTCGCGATGAGTCAATACATAAAACAAAAGCTTAAAAATACTTTCCGTGAATAAACAAATGCAATGCTAGTAAAAATACTCAAAAATTTTTTAGCAAAATGACTAATATTTTCCTTTTATTGCTAGAAAAAAAAGTGACAAAGTAGGAAATGAGACAGATGATTTGTCTCAGACAACTTTTATGCTGATTTAAAAAACCACAAGATTTTTTAGAAGTTACATGATTTGAAACTGTAAAAAGATAAATATTATAGGAGATTGAAAAGTCTTGATCTTAAACCCTTAAAATTTATGCCTGTGTTAGTTATACCACATGTTGAATCTCTGAAACAAATGGAGAATTCAATCATAACACTTTAGGTTTCTTTAAAATACTGACTTCTACAATGTAAACTGTGCATAATTTCCTATACAATAAATAGTTCTTAAGATTGATCAAAATGAGGTATCTAATAAAGATACTTAATCTAGTTATTTCTATGAAACAAAATGGAAGAAATCAAAAACGCATTTTGGAATGAAGGAGGCTACGTAATTTAGCATCTGTCAAAATGTGGTCATGGTGGAGACACTACACTTTGAGAAGATAAGTAATAACTATTTCCTTAGAAAATTCATATGCAAAAGGTTACATAGCTACTTTGTTTTCTGATATTCTTGGCTTTAGGACATTTGTTCTGCCTTCTATAACCTACAAAATTTTACTGAAATACTTTGAATTAAAATTACACTTTCAAGAAGAAACCACAAGACATTCAGCAAACATTGCTTGCATAACATTAGACTTTGACCTTATTAAATGATATCGGGGACTGTAGAACATAGCATTATTTTCCTTTAAGTCTATGGGTAAATCTTGGATGAAAAAATTATGATTACTCTTGTTAGTATACTACTATAACCACATTGGTCCTTTGTATTTGCCAATTTCTAAAGCAACTGTCTTACACTCTATCATCCTTTATCAGGTTCTTGTATCCATCTGCATAGCAGGCACCGTCACCCACAAAAACAAATTATAATATTTAATCTGTTAATAATGAGCATTAACAGGTATATTTATTTCATAAGCATGAGTTTCAGTAAAAAATCATACACTGATTGTTCAAACATTTTTTTTAATTTTCAGTGGTTTTCTAGAACAATATTTTAAAAGTTTTTCTATTATATACTTGCCTTTAATAATTTCCTATATATAAAACAAAGGGAAAGCTAACATAACCCTGAAGAAACTCAACTGACTTTAATACAGATTTCTAAAGAATTTATATTTTCTTTGTAACTTTATGAATTTTACTGAATTGATTATTCCAAATAGGAACCAAATATATGCTAATACCATTCAAACAGTAATAAAATACTTTCTACATAAATATTTATTTGTACAAAATGTAGAAAAGAGGAAAACTTTTCCAAATAATTACCTCTAAATGATGGATTTATATATATATGTATACATACACATTCTACATGCATTATTCTTTTTTATTATTTTGTCTATGATGTATTTTCATTCCTTCTGGGGAAGGAGTTAAGACCTACAGTCATAAAATACCCAGCTACAAAAAGTAGGGGTCCTTTATACCCTTCAGCACATTACATTAGTATTGCTTTTAAATCACTTTACTTATGGGAATATACTTTAAAATCCACTGGACATGGACACAATAATATTGTACATTTTAAAACTCTTCAACAAACTTAAAAGAAAAAGCTGTTCTATTTTGGAAACATAGAATGATTAGTCAGTCATCAACAACTCTATTAAGAGGAACTTACCATGACATGTTTTTAAAGAGCTGTGATAGACTAATAATAATGTGAAAAAAGGCTTATACCACATTTATAACAAAATAACAACTTGAAACGTAATGCAGGGTGATCAGCAGCTACATACGACTAGCAAATATTTAGACCATGATGGATTTTATATGGACATAGCTTCCAAAGTGAAAATTGCAATACAGATACTAACTATAACCATTCAATATGTTTTTACATTCAGTCTCAATGGTTCTTAATTCTTATTTTTTTCAACAGTATTTACTGACTCAGCTTTGTGTGTCTCTGTGTATTTATGTGCACATACTTGTCTGTGTCCTAACATATCACTAACAGTAACTATCAGTGAGTGGGGAGAAGGAAATAGTGTGCATAAGTGCACATATGTTTCCCTCCAGCGTGGCATAAAGCATCCTTAATATTACCTCCAAAGTTAAACAATAACTCAAAGATACTTATAAATTACAATTATAACAGTTTATACTAATTTTCCCTCTAGATAAATAAGTTCCACCCTACCTTGAAGCAGTAATGAAAAGGGAAATGGGTTGCATGAGATGTTTACGAAAATATTTTATATCTGGGAAAACAGGCATAAAGATTAGGATTAAATGGTTCCTGTATTGAATTTTATCACCTCCATATACCCTACAGTTAACAAACTCTTCCCATTTCTGAAGCCCATCCCAATGAGTTTTACTTATTGAATTTCATGCGTATCTTTATAAGCTTGCTTGGAAATACAAAGAAAAACACTCTGGGAAATGGAAAGGAGAGAGAATTACCAGCAGAAATGGCCTATGCATAGAGGAACATTAATAACATTACCAGGTTCACACCTATCCAGGGAATCTCCTTCACGACCTTACAGCCTTAATCAAAGTACCAAATAGGATGCGTGAGACTCAGGCACAGGAGGTGATAATGGCTGCCTTTGAGATATGAATATTGGTTAGCTAAATTGGTAAGAGAAAATGAAAACTGCTTTCACACCCTTCATATATTATAAACTGTGGCCTTGTCATCTACGAACATTACAGACATAATGTTCCTTTATACACAGTGCTATATATTGAATTTCAAAATGATGACCCTATTAAGAACAGTAATCATTACTTTCACAGAACACTAATCACTCTAAACAAATTATATACATACCTTTGGCTGAAGATTTGGATGTAATAAAACATAACCATTAGGATCAATTGCAAAATAATAGCCATTGGGACACAGCTGAAAACCATAAGAAAAAAAAAAACTTTTAAGATTCCTGAGTGGTAATCACAAATACACACTCTTTTAAAGAAAAAAATTCTTAACTATGTATTTTAAGGCATAAAGAAGGATAACATGGTATCACTATATTCTTTACACATTCTTCTTAATATTTCATTCTTTTAATATTTACATAACTGCACATAACTTTCAAGAATAACTTAAGTGCTTTAGGGACAAGCTAAATTAGTACAGAGTTTTAAAACAGATAAAATACCAAAGGAATACATTGCATCTTACTGTAAAACGTGGTGTTAGTCTTTTAATATCTTCCAAAGACACATCAACTCCCATCACACCAAGAATCAGCTGGTTCTATAAGATAGAGAAAAGGTGGTGTATTTTATATTAAACATTTACATATTTCTGCACAATTATATAACATTCATCCTTTTACTTAACAATGGTTGAATTCCACAGCAGCTTAAATATATGTATGACTGAGACACTTTTGGTATCAATTTGCAATGATTCTCAGCTTTGATTATGTTCCCACAACTTGAGCATCATTATTTATCTTACAAAGTGAAATCTGGATGATTAAAGCTAAAATATAAAAGATATACGAAATTTTCAGTTTGATATTTTATATTCATTACCCCTAATATTTATTTTAATTGCTACTGTACAGGCAGCAGCTATAGGTGTGTGTTTGGGTATATGTGTGTGTATGTTGTGTGTGTGTGTATGTGACTGTAAACTGACTTTGTGGTGTCCTATGATTAAGAAATCACAAAAATGTCCATCTTATTTAGTCAGTATGAAATGAGCAAACAATGGAATTTTGCTGCTTATAATATCTGTGTATATGTAACTCTCCTGAGAAGTAAGTGACCTTACTGCTAATAAAATAGCAGAAATTCTCAAAACACTGTTTCTGGCTGCTGCTAACTTCTCAATATCAAACATTGGGTACCATAGTATTAGTTACAAATCAAAAGATCATGTGGTAAATTGCTATCATATCTCCTATGGGACACGAAGATGGAAATTATGTTAAACTTTGGAATCAAGAATTGTTGTCTTAATTGTATATATTATAAAACAAATCAGAAGTTATAAAAAACCATAATGGATTTGTCAACAGTTATTATAAGAACACTTTGAACACCATGGAGGTGTACAGAGAACCAGAAACTTTTGTCAACTATGCTGTTTTCCCATTAACCAACCCTCCTCTGAGCGCATCCCAGACTTAAGCAACACCTTAGACAGTCTATACGAGGAGTTGGAGACTTACTCTTCTATGAGTTATGGTACTTAGAATTGACATATTTAACAATGGCAATGGGCCCCCAAAAAGGAATAACCAAAGTTTTCTATGGCCACAGTATTAAAATAAGTTCAACTAATATTTATAATAAGTGAAAAAAGAATGCTTAAGTACAACACTTCATCATATCATAAACTGGAAATAAACTTCCCTCAACTCAGGAATATCAACCAAACTATAAAATGAGTACTTAGTATTAAAAAAAAAACTTAACTTCCACATTTTAAAATTCTTCCTAATGCAAGCTAAGAAATGGGAATGGAAGCCTACTTTTACATCAGAAGTATTTTTAAAAGTGAGGGAGTTAGTAAGTGCAGGATACATATTTTTCAAAATTTTCAAAAGTTTACCTTGGTAGCATCTTAATACATTAACAATATTACTGGTGCTACAGAAATCAAGACATTTTTATGAAACTCATTAGGTATTTTCCTTGAATCTTAAACAGCCGAAAAAAAATAAAGAGAACTATTCATTTAAATCGGATCCTTAAGTTACATGACAGTTAAGAAAACCACTGTTTACGAGTTAGAAGAGGAGCACTTGTATAAATGTCCCTCTATATACCTGATGCAAACATCACCATGGGTTTTTTTCCTTTAGATTTCTCTCTCTAAACTCCAGAATACCTCAGATGCATTTGAAAATGTACCCACAAAATACTGCCCATTTCTCATATAATTACTCCCAGAGTTTGACCTTCTGTTCTCATCAGGTCCCAGTTAAACAGAGTCAAGTTGAATCTTGGCTCTGGGGAACAGAGACCTTGACCTGCGTTTCCTTTTTCCCAGGTGGTTATCACATACGCAGCTGTTGCCTTTTAATTCTGTCCTCACGAGACAGTTTCATTGTATGTATTTCCTTATAGAAGTATCTTATCCACACTGAGCTTCAACGTCATACTTTATCATTATTAACTTTATCAATTAACTTTTAACCTTTAAGTTCGTCTTATTTTCATTTTGGCCCGTTATGTTGAAGACCGGAAGAGTTCCAGTAATGACAAGTCCCAGCTCCTAAAAATAGATTGGGAAAAAAGGCCCATCACAATTACTATTTCAACTCTGTCATTCTGCATTAGTCTTCAGTATCTGACAGCGCATTTTATGGTTACTTTATAAAGAGCCACAAAAATTAGTAATTAATGTTGAAAGCTTATTTTTTAAAAAATCAACAAAAGTATTTCACAAATAAGCAAGACCTAGTAGGCAGATCTTTAAGCATGGAACATCGAAAATACTCTTAGCAGAGCACTGCAAATCACTTTCAAAATCAAAGGACACTACACATTTCAGTAACCCTGCCCCTCCACTCTTTTTTTCACAGTGAGTGATAGTTCACCTAATATTAGCGGCATCCATGAGGAGAGGGTGATATTAAAATATTGTTTCAAACGATTGATTCACCCTTCTTTCTTGTAGCTTCATTCTTATTTTTTTTCCCCATGCCCTAGGCCACAGGCTTCTTGCTGAATCAAAGATGTGTAACAGAATAATGTTATAAACAGAAAAAAACATGCTATTGATATTACATTTCTGGGATATTCTAGGTAAGCACTATGATGCTCAAAAGAAGAACACTGTTCCCAAAAACTCTCCAAAATGAATAATACTTTTTGATGAAGTAAAATGATGCAGATAAGACAACTGCAAGCATCACATATGACAGTCTAGTCATGAAGCAGTTTAGTATAACAAATGTGACATACTATTAATCAGCATATAAATAATTACGTATGTTACATGAATCCATGGAGAGTAGTTGGATAAACTGATTTTCAAGTCAGAGGTCGCTTTTTTATTACTGCCATCTGCAGCAATTATATTTCTTTTACTATCATTTCAGGTCAAAACAACATTTTTTACCAAAATCACTTTTTAAAATAATTTTTTTAATTACTGTTCAAAAATTTGATTTAGCTGAGAAAATATTAGTAATCTTTTTAGGAACAATGACCTCAAACCTCATGACGCCTATTCTAATTCTAAACACTGCATGGTCTCGTAAGAAAAATGTCCTATGCGGTGATTTATTATTAATGATACATGTGAGAAGCTCAAACACAATGGGAACAGAGTTAGTGCAGAAGGACCATCTTAGGCTATAAGCAGAACAAGGTATCAAATTGTTTGGGACCAAGGAAACTAAGGAAACGACTACGGTGATATACATGTTGGTTCTCTATTTAGTCCTAAGGGAGAACATGTGACCATGAAAACATCCTTAATGAATATGCAAATTAATATTCACAATGAAAAGTTTCCACCTCAATAAAGTCAGATTATAGATAATTCATATACCCAGTATCCAAGATCCCAAAATCCATGGATGCTCAAGTCCTCTCTACAAAATGGGTAGTATTTGCATGTAACCCATGCACATCCTCCTATGTACTTCAAATTATCTCTAGACTACTTATAAGACCTAATACAACGTGAAGGCTATGAAAATTATTGTAAATACAGTGTAAAACTTATATGAATAGTTGTCGGTTCCTGGCAAAGTAAAGCTTTGCTTTTTATAACTTTCCAAAAATTATTTTCCTGAATATTTTGAATCTGCAGTTGCTTGCACCTGCAGACATGGGACTCCTTGGATATGGAGGACCAACTGTATATCCACATGCAGTTTTAAAAATGGTAGCATTTAAAAAAGGTGTACATGGATGCAATAATTTTCTTTGCATCACTTTGACATTAATACCTAATGTCATAATTTGCTTCTACATATGGTAACGTGTGCCATAAAATGAGATACTAGGCTTCTAACAGACAGAATTATGGATGAACTCACTGGTGCCTAACTTTCATTTTCTTTCCTGTTCATTAAGCAGACCAAAAACCTTTACCCTATTCTTAAGAACTGAGCAAGTCTCTACAGATTTAAAAAGAGAAATAAAACAAGATATTTGATATTTATTTCCTAGAATGCAACTCTTTTCATCTTCATCTCTCTCTTTGTGTACAAAAAACCTTATTTCATCTCTCCAATAAAATGAACCCTCCAGCATACTGTCCAGTCTTGTTCTGCTCTTGTCTCCCACTATCTCCAAAAGTGATGGAGGTATCTGTCATTCTTTCCATAAAACCAGCACTTCTCCAATTTTCTTACTGCACCCTCTTTCTGCAATTTCATTACTCATCACCAACTGTACAAACCTTACCTAGACTCATATATTTAGCTAAAATAATACCATCTTTCTTTTTTTTTTTAAACCATCTTTTTAACCTGACTCTATTCCATTCCCACATATATGGGCTTCTTGTTTTTTTTTTTTTTTTAAATTTCCAGAGCTCCTATCATCTTTCTCGTTATATTTATCACATTTTGTCTTGGGATATTTTTACTTTTTTCTTGTTAATATAACTTAATTTCACTAGTATATATTTTGATTCTGCTATGCACAGAGATTATAAACAAATACTGAGAATTAAAAGTTGGGTCACTTTTTATTCTCAAGTCAGTAAAAACACTGTTCTCTGTATTCACTGACTAGCCACTTCATGTGCCTCATTTGTTTTCTTTTTTTTTTTTTTAATTCGTTTCTGCTTGTAGAACAGCATATTTAGAACCAAAATCTTTTCCTACTGTCATCTGTGCTATCAGTAAGAACCTTAGCAACAATGCAGACATGCTGGTTAATGAACTTCTGGTCATAGGAAACACAGTAGGGCACAGTTATTGACTCGTCCTATCACACTGTCCTGTGATGGATTTGGATATGTGAAACATTTTGACCACAGCTTTGGATGACCATGTGACCTTAAATAAATATGTGATGTCAGGAAGGAACACTGCACAGTAATTTTAGTTAGGGCTTGAGGTAAGCAAGCTTCACTTTATCTTTCTTAGCATGCAAGGATGCTGCTAACAGTGCCTATTTTTCTTCTAACTTCCTGTATATGTTTGTTCTACAAGAACCAAATGATAAGTACTTCTAAATGGATTGCATTCTGCCCTTCGGGTTCATCACTGCATTCAGAAAAGGAGTATCAGCATATAATTGAACTCCAAGTAGGAAAAGGGGTTACTGAATCAGCATTTACTTTTCAGGACTTAGTATTTTAATTCTTCAGTAAAATTGTTAATATCTTCCCATCAAGTTAAGTATATGAATACATCTTAGGTATGGATAATTACTATTTATAACTTTATACGGTGTGTGTGTGTGTGTGTGTGTCGTGTGTGTGTGTGTGTAGATTTGTGCATGGTGGGATGGGGAAGTTTAACAGCATCCCTGGTATCTGCTGATTAGATGCCAACAGCAACCCCTCCCCTTTACAGTCATGAAATCACTAATATCTACAGATATTCCCAAATGACCTGAGAGGAAAAAATCACCCTCAGCTGAGTACCGCTGCTTTACAATGTGATGGAATACCTATACTAAAGTTTCAGCTGTGCAGTGGACAACTTAACATGTTTTTGTTACTTCACACCAGATTCGATCACTTCAGTAGCCTGTTTCCATAAATATTTGGGGTTGAATTTTGAGCAAGAAATTATCTACCAAGAGGTGATTAGGTTTGGGATTGCTGTAGGGTAGGATAAGATATTTGTTTAGCTAATTGCACGTTATCTATGAGGTTTTTTGAGTCTGGTTTGAGTGACTGAGGCTACACATGCTTTTGCTAGCTGAACCCTACTTTAAAAATACTTCCTTCACAATTCTCATTCTAAATTTGCAGTAATAGGTACCAATTCATGTGAGTTTAGTATTTTTTACATAAAAATTCAAAAAGTTATCAAAATGCCCTTCAAATCTAGATTCAGGGTTTGAAATTCCACATTCTCAGCCGCAACTAGAAGATAACACTTTACATTTGTTGTTTCCTATTACACACAAGTCTAGGTTTTTATGTAAATGTCTAAATTCCAGCAAAGGAGGTTGTGATAGAAGAAATTTTGAGAAGGTTTAGCGAGAGGAAAAGAGAAATGTAACATAGAAAGAAGCAGAATTCAGTCATGTGCTTTTGTTATGAGTCTTTGGTTGAAGAGCCTCTTACCAGTGCATCCAGGTACACATTTGTCCACTGCACTTGCTTGGCTTTGTCTCCTGCTAAAACCATTGGTCTTCCCAGAACATCCAAATATTCCTATTTATAGATATATTAAACAAAGTTAAGTGGTTGAAAAGCAGGAATCCTATGTTAGAAAGTCTCCACGGAGAAAAAGTTATCTAAGTTAAAAGTGAAAAATGAAGATGGAATCTAAATTATTAAGAGAATAAGTATATAACCATTCAATTCCTACTTTGGATACTCTATAAATGGAATGTCTACATACTCAGAATCAACAATATTTGACTTATATTATTTACACAATGTATCTACTCCAGTTTTTTTCAAGTAACAAAACATTCTCTTTCTGAGCTATAGCCAACGATAAGTGAAATACATTCTTTGTGAATCGTTCTATGTTAATCTAAACTATTTAAGGCTCTGTGATTTACTGTATGGAATTGTACAAATTTGAAATAATAAAGCAATCACATACTTGTTTTCATATCCGAGACTGTTTGGCTGAAATTCAAAACTACATTTAAACATATCAAAAAATAAATGAAGTACTGTGCCAAATCTAGACATCAGACTCTAATGCAGCTGCTGTTTCATTTCAAAATTCAATGCATTCAGTACTCATTTCCACAAATGCCATGTTACTTGTGCTAGATTTAGACTTAGTCTACTTTGTAGGCCCTCAATGATGTTTGAAATTGAGTAATAATTTTAAATAGCAAATTATGAATATTTAAAAATAATATATTTGAATTAACTTAATTGTTTCAATCTACCTAGTTCTCTAAGAAGCATGTTTTCAACTGAATGACTGTAGGAAAAATCATCCCTTTGTTGTAAATTGTAATAATTATTGTTTACTTTTCTATGTTGTACTTACAACTTGCAGAAACTCATTTAACTGATTTGCAATAGAATCAAGTTCAAATTATATGATGACATTGTTACTAAACTGATTTTATTTATTTTCTATGATTTTTCTACCATCGAGAAGAAAAACATACTCATATTTCTTTAATCTGAGTTTTGACTGTCTAAAAACACTTGGAACCTTAATAAAATAAAAAATAATACATTACCATGATACTCATCATTTTATACAAAAGTAACTTTATGAATTACTTATTCATTTTCACCTGTTTTCTCCACATATTGAGCATATTTAAAGCATAAAAGAAATAGCCTGAAAAAATAATTTAAACAAATTTTAAATACCCATACCTGAGTATTGATTCTTATTGCTCCAATGGACGGAATTTCATAATAATAACCTGCAATATACATATATACAAATTTATACATACAAATATTATAATAAAATAAAGGGCCATAAAATTATTTTATGGCTTTGTAGGAAAAAAGAGCATTTTTTCACTTATTACTGAACAAACACTAAAATCTCAATACCACTGATAAATACGGAAAATGTTTGATTGCTTTATGAGAAATTTCACTACATTTCTTAGACTGTATAATTATTTTTCTACAAAGCAGTCGGAAATCTAGTATCATTACATTTTTTTTCCATTGCAGACATTACTAACAATGCACAACGATGAGTATCTAACAATAATTACTTTTATATAAAATATTTGCCTAAATGTAACTGTCGGAATAGATTCAGTTTCTTTTTACTACAATGTGTTCACAGTTCATTTTTTAAATAACACTGTTTTTTTCCTGAGTATAAAGGAAATATCGGTTCACTACACAAAATCTAACTTACCTAGGTAGCAATGTATACGACATTTAAAAAACCAATATTTTATCCACTCAGGGAAAAAATGTACATATAATGTCATACTTTTGGATATCTAAGTTCTACATAACTCAGATATTCTTTCATTCATAATCCTTCACATAAGTTACGTTTGATAAGCTCATTAGTATCATTCAATAAGATGTACTCTTTTATGAATGTACAATACTATGATTAGATGTCTGAATTTTTCTGTAACATTATTGTCAGAGTTTCCTGTATGTGTGAGTTTTCTCCATAGAAAATATCTTCAGCATCTTATTCTTGCCTCAGATCCTATAAAAATTAGCTACAACTTCAGTATTATAAATGATATTACCTAGAACTAACAACTGGCAAATTCTTCTCCTTATAATAAAATGTGGTCAAGTAAACAGATCCGTTACCTTTATTTTCACAGGCCATCCACTGAATAGGTCCTCTGTCATAATTATGCTGACCAACTGAAAATGTGAACACACGTACCTGGTGAATTAAAAAATAGGTAACCGTTAGGCTGCATAAAACTGAATTAAGTGGCAAAGCAAAAGAGCTAAAATAAAACATAAATAAAAGCATGTTTTCAGTTAATTAATGTGACTAGAACAACTGAAGCAAGTAAATCACTCAGGAAGGCATCAGAGAGAAACCACCTAATCTACTCTAGAGACGTCAGTTACTAAACTGAAGTCAATACTTGGGTGCCCTGTACCATAGCCCAATCCTGTGGCAAGACTGTGATTAAGGTTTCATTAGTAGAAATGGCATCTTTCAGGTTGGCCCCAACTTCACCTGTCTCACCTGGTAAAAACATATTATTTATACATCTAGTCACTGCAAAAAAAAAAAAAAGGTCCTATTTCATAGGTATGAGGTATTACAAAAATATATACAGAAAGGAGGTCATTATACTTTCAGTTGCTTAGGGTAACTATACTTAATGACAGTTTCACTACTTTCACGCTAGGGAAGTATTTAGCATGCACATGTATGATTATGATGTTAGTCATATTACTTACTTTCTACAAAAGATGACTAGTAAATACAAATGAATATTTTAAGTTCCTAGGGTATTTTAAAAGAATCAAAATATTGACTATTTCTAATATATATACAAATATTTGAAACTTCACTGGAAATATTTTTTAATTATAGTGATTTAAACACTCATTAGAAGCCACTGAATTTAAATAATACTATAAGGGTTTGGAAGATAAATTCAATGATATCAAGAAATATTTAATAAAGTGGCTGTTTAACATATACTGATTTTTACCAGTTTAGTAATCTAAGTAAATCAATACTCTAAGCTCAACATTTTAGCTTTTTCTCAAGATAAACAAGCAGAAAAACACTTTTCCACGAATTCACATTCTGGTTTGAACTATGTTAAGAGCTTTTCCCTAATTCATGTCGATTGACTGTTTGAATTGACATTTTCTAACTGTTTCGTCTGCTCCATCTTTTGCACATGACTGCAGAACACAAATCTCAAAAGAGACTTCACATCTGTTCTCTGTTCTTTCGCTGGTCTTGGCCACACAGAGCTCACATCATAACAATCCCTGCCCCAGAATGTACACTGGGGATGCTGCTGCTTCACTTGTAAAGTTTTACGTGAATCGCCCGTAAGTCGTATGGGATTGCCTTCGTTACACACGAGGCCATTTGGTGAACACATCAGAGTTTTAATCACCTCAGATTGTCAGGACAAACGACTGGTTCTAGGTTAACAGAAACTGGTGACGCCTACCCCTCTCTCTCCTATCCATCAAAATGCAAAATGCACTTTCATTTTCTTAAAATCTTCAATTGGGTCATTGAGGGGGTTTGTCTACGTATTTCAATGTACTGTTACTGCTCACATAGTTACACTGACTCCTAAGTGGGAATATTTTTAGAAACAGGTTGGCCACCCTACTGATAATTCAAGTCAACTTCCCTACCTTAAACAATTGTCACATGAAGTCAGAGCAGGGAAAAAACCCAGATGCTCGAGAAAGCTCTTGGGATCTCCTTCATAATGAACATTTGAAAGCAAGTCTCCAACTTTCAATTTTAAGCGCTGCTTTGTCTAGTTGTTCCTCCTACCACCACAGTGTTCTAGTTAAATGTTTTCCCTAAAATACTTTTCAGCACAAAGAAATAAGTGAATAAGACTAAATGAATTACTGTAACTACATCCCTGGAAGCCAAGTATTTCTAATAACATACAGGCTACTCTTAGACACATACCATGTGATTATTTTGACTGATGTTATTCATCAAGTAGTCCAAATAAACATAACTCAGCCAAAACACATACCAGTTTAAAAGAAATGAAAAAAAAAATTGTTGCCTTATTTGTTTTACTACAAAAGTTTTGCCTGATCCCCATGGTTTGCCTACATGGAGACCTCAGAGGTTGTCTAAGTTAAGGAATTCAGATTCACAGCTGGGTGTCAAAAGTGCACATTCTGTCACAATTAATTATAATTTCATAAAATTTTAATGCACACTAGGATTTTTCCTTCTCTTTTTGCACATCTTTCATATAGGGCCTTGGCTTTTGAACATTAGGCTGCATCAACTGATTTAATTATTCCCTAACAGCAAATGTATAATTTATATCTTTCCTCACTTTCTATTTGCCTTGCCATAGATAATTTTAAAGACACTATTTTTCTAAAACTTTCCTCCCAGTGGTTATGAAAATTTTAAGAATTACAAGTTCAACCTTTCTGTACGTTCTCCAACTGCCTTCCCATTACAACAGTTACAAAATCTTTCTAATATATCTAAGATGCTTACTTTTCTCTTGGTGGATACACATACATACACGCATACACATAAAACACATGCAAGTCTATATTTAATGACTTATGGATTATTTTAGAATTTTCTGAAATGATTTCATTAGTATACATTTGGCTCAGAAAATTTATTAGAAATCAGTCAAACTTTTAAATTCTTTACATGACAGTGAAAACACTCGACATAAATCTGATTTCAATCCCAGGAGTCATATCCACGCTGAATATGGCTTCGCTTTACACATTTTAGCTAATTACAATAGTAAGGATTTTAACTTCACTGATTTTATAAGCGGGTGTGATGCACACTTCATAGTGCACATCCACAAGGAACTGGTGAAATTTGGAAGATGATTTTTGCACCTTAACTTTCCACTTGCAGTTTTGGATAGTTTGGTTTCTCCTAATCCAAACACTGTATTACTGCCACCCTGTGGAAGAGTTATTCAACTAACTGTAAAATCCCAGATGCCAAATCCACAGAGATGACTGCTAGCCTCTCATTATTCTAAAGCTTTCCACTTCTTTCAGTTTACCACTCTTGCTTAGCCATCATTAGGGGGAAAGGGGAAAGACTTCTTCAAATATGCACAACTTAGAAATTATGGTAAATTGCATTTTCAAAGATGTATATTTTTAGAGTTCTTTTCTTGTTTAGAGTTCTTGTTAGTGTATTTACAAAGTTTTACAAAAAACAAATAAAATGACATAAAATAACTCAAAATACTCGTTAGGCAGTCACACAAGCTAAATATTTCATTTAGAGTCTCCACTAAGCAAATTACTTACTTTAAATCATGCTGCCAATAAAGCAAACTCAACTTTTGTGGAGGAAAAACTCCTTTACTCATTCCTGATAGAACATTTATAATCACAGCACTACATTCATGTAACAGCTGCATACTGGAAACTTTCTGTTCTAAGGGAAATGTTCCTAGAACATGTGTTAAATGGTCCTCAACTAATCTAGGTGACTTTAGATAGGCTCATGGTTCAGACTGTTCACTTCAGTGAGGGTCCTATGTGAAACCCACACAGTCATAGACGGCTTGGAAAAATATTTTTCATAATGTTGGAGCCCAGGTCTTTAGCAGAAATAACATGGAGAGGTAGTATTGAATAAACACTGTATTGGGTTTAAACAGTTTCAAGACTGCACTACTGTATCTATTATGGTACTTTATACATAAATGGAAAATAAGTGTTTATTAAATGACAGAAAATTGAATAGCTAAATGAGTGGTCTCAACATTTTCCCAGAGACATCTAAGACAAACTTTGCTATCATCTGACACATAAGTCAGTTCATTACAAACACAGCAGAGACAAAACTAGACTCACAGTTGTCTTGCCTTTTATAACCTGAGCTGTTTCATTACACTTACATTATGCTAAATTCTTAATTGTTTTATTTTATGTTATGCAGGCTTACACAAAGGAATTGGGCAAACTTCTTCAGGCAAACTGAAGTATACTTTGTACACCTGTATCATTTATGTACTGTGTTATTCCTAGAGAATGACAACAATTCTCATACTTATTGACTCATGCTTAATTATATAAGAATATTCAGAAAAGAAATAGTACTTTGAAACCATATTTAATAAAATTAAACTTAGAACAATTAAAATCAGTCTTTACTGTCAGTTGCAAATTTACATAACTGTTTCTTCAGTTGTTTCAAAAAATCATTCTTTTCCTCTGAACAGAACACTCTAATTCCAAAAATGTGCAATTGATATGTGAAGTCTAGCCTGCCTATTCAGAGAAAAATTTACTAATAGCAAATTCTGGTTATTTAACACGCATTATTGATCTGTTACCACTGATTTACAACTTTAGCCTTCAGTTTTGGACTCCTGTTAATCTGTTTTTTATTTTGTTTTGTTTTGTTTTGTTTGTTGGAGACTAAAATACTTGTCTTCAATTAAGATTTTTCCAAAGCCACAGGGTCAACCTATTTTAAAAAACCATAGGAATTTCTTGTTTCCCAGCAGAACCCAGTTACTGGAAACTGTCACCTCAACAATTATCAGTTACCCAGAGTTCAAGTTTAATTTGCAATAGGCAAATCTCCAAAGAATAATGGAAATGAGACTATGAAGAAAGCCAATAAAACTAAAATAAAAATTTCAGCTATTGAATTATGTTAGAAAAATGATGTCAGAAATTTTATTAATTTACTATGTGTACTAAAATTTTTGGCATTAAGCCTATAAAAATATTAGACTGGACTGAGTATTTTAGGAGAAAATTCTACAGTGGTTTCCGTAATTCACAAGTGTACTAGAATCCAGAGTATTTAACCCACATCTCTAGTTTTATAGCATTATGAAATAAATAAAAGTGTCCAAATTCACCTTTCACACTTAATTCATTTCATAAAACCCAAAGATCTGAAAGGTTCTTGCAAGCCTGCAAAGATCTGATGGCTTAGTTTAATCCATCTTAGCCCCTCAAGGCTGTGAGAAGCATGTCCCTTAGCAGCAAAGCCTGGCTCTCTGACAAGAAGGAAAGATCCTGGGTGGGCAAATGATGACTGGCGTGGCTGCAAGGCTGTCCTGGAGAGAGAGACAGACGGCCAGCCAGGTGCATTCCACATGAGGTTATGAAATTGGGACTGTAGATCATTTCAATTATTGACTTTGACACTTAGTAGCGGTATGACTTTCAACAAGTTACTTAACTTCTCAA